GTCGTTGCCTTAATCTTTTCAATGAGTGATGCATCACTACGGACACATGTTAAAACGAAGGGGAAAAAGTCGCTAGACAAATTTTTAGCGAGAGAAACTAGCAGTGAACCACAACCAGGTCCAATTTTATTCTATTTTCACATAGATAGGGAAGGGTATGCACTCTCCAGGATGTAAAGGTTACAACAAAATCAGATAATAAAGAGAAACTAAAATCTTGGAAAGAAACAAAAAAACAAACAAAAAATTGGGACATTGATGAAAGTACGTAACATATACAGTATTACTATTGGGCAATGTATTTGATATATAACAAAATAGAGCATTATAGCATACTTGCCCATTATTGTGGTACAGGTATTATGTATTACTCAGCAATGCTATAAGGCACCTGCTGCATATCCACTTTGTGGACATTTATTACTATTATTCTTTGTGCTTTGGACAGGTGCTTGCATCTCTTTTTATTACTGCATTATCCCTTAGTTCCAGTTAATAGCTGGTCTTAATCAACAAAATGTTCTTTTAAAAAAATTTGTATAAAATAAATTGCTGAAAATATTTTGACGTTTCATGACACTGAAGCCAATAAGTTGGAGATTTGTTCAATTTTTTTTTTTTTACATCGAAGATATTTTTTGCTTCCAGGGTCTAAATATGCACAGTTTAAGGGTTAAGGTGTTTATCAGTCCAGTACATTCTTGACAATGTAGACCATGTAATGTATTCCTCTAAACAATGGAGAGTCCACTGGGATTCCCAAAGTAAATTCGGATTTCTCTAGGGAGAAACCCAGATTTGAAGGATGCAGTAAAATCCAGGATGTCGACTCATCATGTAAGGCAACCCATAAAATCATATCTTTTCCATATACAGTATTTTAACTATATTTGTAAATGTGTTAGAAATGTTTTACTAAGCTTGAATTATACAATAATTTGTAAGCATTTTGACATTGCTGTGGTGAGACCTACTTAGTTTACTTGTACAGCCCTTGTGTTTTCCCTATGCTTGTATGGTCTAACCTTGCTTCTCAAGCATTTATAGTTTGTGTTTTTTGTCATTATTTTGGTGTTGAAACTGTCAATTGGCATAAGTGGCAAGCTATGCTTGTCTTGGATTATTCTAATTTTTTACTTTGTAGTTTACAAAATTTAAATTATGCATAGTACTTTTTTGTGCAAATATGCAAAAAGTTGTTCAATCAATCTGCAGCGTAGACAATTTTATTCCTTTTGAGATCTCTCCAAAAAGGGGGGGGGGGGGGGGTTAGGAACAGACGTTTCTCCATTATATTGTATAACCATAAACCTTTCAGTTTGTCTGGAACTCTTGATACTACAGAAACATGGGAATGTGTACAGTCCCATGTGTTATACAGTGGTACCTCGGTTTAAGAGTTTAATCCGTTCCTGGAGACGGCTCACATTCCGAAAACTCGTAATCCGAAGCCAATTTCCCCATAAGAAATAATGGGAAATGAATTAATCTGTTCCTGACTACCCAAAAACCTCACTTCAAACTAAATTTTATACCTAATTCATCTAAATAAACCTACAAAACTGTTATTACTTACCCTTGCTGATAAATGCTGTAGGAGTATGGAAGATGGTGAGGAGGAGAGGTGTTACTGTTTGGAAGGGGAGTCCCCTTCTATTATAACATCAGGCAGTGAGGACCTTTCTGGGGTGCACTCCCTGGCACGTTTTGCCTGCATACCACTAGGTCCTGGTTGTGGCTCACTGCTTGATTTTCTCAACAAATCTGGCTATGGAAGCTTGTTTTTCCTTTTTTTGCAAGCTCTCTGTAGTAAGGCATCACATAGTCATTGAAAAGATTATGGCAACGGCCTACTACAGCTTTCTCTGGGTGAGTCTTTTCAATAAGTTTGCATCTCTTCCCACATCTGACACCACTTCTTAATTTCTGTAGAAGGGACATTCTGTACTGCCTCATCCTCCTCCACTGGAGAAACATCCTCAGCTGTGTCTTCTTGCTGTTCCTCTTGAAGGGCTTGGAGTTCTTCGTTGTGTTCTTCCACCAACTCCTCCACATCATCACCCATCCAATTCCAAGCTCATTTGCCGGCTGAGTAACAATTTCCTCAACAATGGGCGCATCATTTACAGGCTCAAACCCCTCAAAGTTTAGTTCTCACACATTCGGGCCACAATTTTCTCCAGCCAGAGATCAGGGTTCTTTGAGTCGCTTCTTGCCAGGCTTTGTCAAAGTTTTAAAGAACTACAAATGTTAAAATGGTCTTTCCAGAGCTCTGAGTGAGGTTTGTAGCTTCAGTCACTTCAAAACATTTCCGGAAAAGTGCCCTTTCATAGTTTCTTAAAATTCGCTATGATTTTCTGGTCCATAGGCTGAATTAGTGGTGTTAGGAGGAAGGAACTTTGAGAGAAATTTATTGTATATGCATAAATTCATCTTCCAAGCCTAGAGGATGAGCAGGAGCATTGTTGAGGAGAAGCAGGGCCTTGAGTGGCAAATGTTTCTCCTGCAGATATTTTCCTATGGCAGGGCACACCACTTCATTCACCCACTCAGAAAAAAAAAAAATCCTAGTCACCCTTTTATTACCCTTCCACATCACACATTTGGTGTTTCTGCACTTTATATCGTTTAAAAACCCTTGGATTTTCAGATACACTAGCAAGGGTTTAATTTTCAAATCGCCACTCGCATTTGAACACAGCACATATGTAAACCTATTTTTCATAGGTTTGTGTCCAGGCAAGGATTTTTCCTCCTTGGTAATGTATGTTCTTAGGCAATCTTTTCCAGAACAGTCCTGTCTCATCACAATTAAACACTTGTTGCAGTAGGTATCCCTCAGCCTCTGCAAACTTTAAATTCTTCAATAAATCTTTCAGCTGCTGGTTTGTCTGAGCTGGCTGCCTCCCCATGCCTTGCAACACTATGGATACTTTTTCTAAATTTTTCAAACCATTCCCTGCTTGCTTTAGTCTATCGTATCTGCACTCGTTCCAGGGGTTTTCTTTACAAGGTCTTCGTGGAATACCCTGGCTTTCTCACAAATGGCCTCTGAAACACTATCGCCCACTAATTCCTTGTTGTATATCCAAATTAATAACTTTTCCGCTTCAAGTATTTGTAGTCTTTGTTTTGTGATTGTTCTTGCGCCTTTTGCCACTTTAGCACTCGTAATGTCTTTTTTCTTGCTAAGTATAGTGCATATCGTTGACGTGATTTTGTTGTACTGCCTACAAAGTTCAACACGTGTACCATTTTCATGCTTCCGAATGATCTTGTTTTTTCTCTATTGTCATCCTCACATGCGTTTTCTTGCCTTGATCCTTACCACTGGCTTTCTTGGGACCCATAGTGAGATATATAATAACTTTTATGATGAAATGACCAAAAATCCAACAAAACCCTGAAAATCCTGGTGAAGAATTGACGCATGGGATAGTGACTGGGCGCGAGGCACTGGTAAACTGAGGGGGGTGAGGGGCGACGATCGCCGTACCACCACGCGCTAGGTCGGCCTGTACGCGTATCAACACCCCCGCCTTCCGAGGTTGTAACACGGGTTAGGGTTCTCTCTACTTATCTTCCTTCTTTGCCCTCTACCCGTATTCTTACTTTTTATTCTCTACCAAGGGACTCCAAAATATTTACCAAAGCCAACTCCACGCCACGTGGTCCTAAGACGATTGACCGACTTAGGATTCTACACCCAGTATGACGTGACCTAGGCTTTGAGCAAAACCCTAGAGTCGCCTCTACGCTGCCACCACCAGACCAGCAACACCGAGCAATGATCGAGGTCTGGATCGATCACGCTAATTAATCAACCTTGGGGCTTGATCCCCACTATAACCGATGACCGTGGAAACTTAAGAGTGTGAAATTAATTACACGGGAATGATTCGATGTTAGAATCGATGTTAGAATCGGCGCCCAATCCAACTCTGCCTCGTGTGGACCACGTGACCAGGACAAGTATACACATAAAACACATGGAAATAATAAAAATGCAATTTACTAACAAATTTAATTTATTAAAAGAAAACTAAAACAAAATCTAAATATGTTCACTCCGTCACTTTAACACTCCCTACTTGACCTGACTGGCAATGAGACTACCTCTATAAATAACCATAGCAACTATACCTTGGGCAACCAGCTAAAGATGTTGGGCTGGTCTTGGGGAGAGGTAAGATGGTTGGCCTCTCCCAGTTGCTCCTGTTTCCACACTGATCTATCCCTCGTCTGGTCTAGCCCAGACTAGAGCATTGTAACCTTCCGCCTCGCTTACCCCAGTTACTTAGCAAGGTTTAAGTTATAACAATTAACCTCTGTTTGTACTGAATTGATCCAGACTGGTTGAATTATTTTACTGAAATTAAATTACACAAGCATCTAACGGCAGAGCTGTTCCCGATCACAAAAATGGTTATTAAAACTTTGAGAAATAGTAGACCTGTCAACCCTGATGACCTATGACCGCCGGTCACTCTGCCTTACAAGTTAGATCTGATTCGTGACGTCACTGATGGTGACTTAAACTCAATAATTAGAATACTCTTGATATTGTACCCAGCACTATTATACAATACAATTTTAATACAAAATGAATAAAGGCTAATTTCTCTAAATTACTGAATACTATAGGATGATTCATTATACGCAGCTATGAACAAGGCGTCGGTTATTTCCACCGCGAATTCCCCTGGGGTCAGGTTCCCAGGTCACCATGCGGGCTCAGCTTCCCATTCTCTTTTGTCGATAAACCACTCTGGATAATTCTTACAACAGCCTAGTTTGTTACAACGTAACCCTTGCCTTCCGAGGCAAATTTTCCGAGGAAATCCTGCTCGTATTCCGAAAAACTTGTATACAAGAACTCGTATTCCGAGGTACCACTGTACTATACAAATAACTTTTACATTTGTTTTCAGGAAGTCAAGATGAGCAGTTTCTGGTCAGAAGGTGGATGTGTTCTGTTCTTCATGCGGCGGTTTGGATGAACTTTCTGCAGGGTGGCGGCTAAAGAGTTGTCTCTGTTGTCGCCACAACTTGCCCAGGCTAATGTCAGACTTATTGGCATTGGGCTGGAGGAAATTGGAGTAGAAGAGTTCATAGCCGGCAAGTTCTTTGTAGGGGGTAAGTAATGAGTTAGTTTTCTGCAGAATCTTTGTAAATTTCAAAGTTTGGTGGGCTTTAACCTTTAAGCTGCAATTGTCTATTGAGGATCCCTAGGGGACTGGGGTAATCATCAAAAGATGTTATTTTTCCTAGTTTTAAATTTGATGCAAATATGGATATAATTGGTCTATGGATGTGAAGGAGATTTCATGGTACAAAATGGTTATCTTCATGAATGTTACTAGGGGGGATGGAGTCATAAGACGGCCCATCCTTCTGTTTAGGTAGTACTTAGTAACGATGAGGACCATAGTGTATGTAGTATACCGACGTACAACAAAATTAGAATGTAAAAAACAGCACTATTGAGTTTGACAAACGAACTATTTTTTTTACTTGTTGCAAAGACAAACAAAAATAATCTAACCTAATCTTCCTAGGCCTAATACAGTATAGTACATGTGCTATACTAGACATAGGAATATTTTTTTGGCTTCATTTTGTATAAAATTCCTTAAGAGTTGATATATCACTACAGTATCTAATAGCTAAGTACATACGAATTTGTGACTTGACGATCATCACAATAGGTACTATCTAAACAGGAAGATAGGTTGCCATATGACGATTTAAACAATTTTCTGAATTTTAAATGATGCAAATATAGATCTAATGGCTCTGTGGATATAATGATACAAGAAAAGGTCTTACTGAAAATGGGGAAGGGGTGGGGGATTTGTGGATTTGCTTAGGATGTTGGGACAGTTCTGACTAGTGGAAAATTTTATCATAGGTTAAAATTTTAAAATTCCTTGGTGAAATCAGCCCATAAAGCATGGGGAAAATAAGTGTGGATGGTAATGCTCTAAATAACGCTCCAATCCCCTTTTAATGATTTTCATAAATGCAAGATTAGAAGAAAGAGGTGGGCTTTGGAAAAGCCATTGAGCATATTTAAAACTAAATTGTATTGATTTTAATTTGAGATTCCCAGGTTTTCATTCACAAATGAGCCCTTTTCTTTTGAAAATGAGGTTTTGAGGCTATGGCATGGAAAATATGCTAAATGTGGTTAAATCTCTACTTGCAGGTTCTCTTGGTAGATGTCCTTCGTATGACAAGTTGAAATTAATGTTTTGCTCGGTGTTATCAGCCCATAGGGTGTGGGAAATATTAGGATATAATTGGTAACTCTTAACCACTGCACAGCACATCTGGTTTCAGCAAAAAACTTTAGTGCAATTGTCAAGGACATAACTTTACGTGAACATATAAAAAAAATTAATATCAATGTTTCTAAACTCGACTATTTCCATTTTAAAACGGTAATGAAAACATTAAAATAGAGCCTAATTAAAAAAAAACACAACTGTGCCTAAAGGCTTTGTGCAGTGGTTAATATGGCTGCACTCATAATTGTAATTAATTTTGTAGATGAAAGCAACATTAGATGAAAGAAATGGTTGAAGCAATGCATTAACAAATTGCAGACCCATGTCTGCAATTTTGACCCATGGGTTAAGTCTACCACAATTCATATAATATACAACTTTTCTTCCCATAGTCTAGCTTGGGCCAGTATATTTGATCTGTTTTAGTAAGGGTAAGTCTTGATCTTTGGTAGACATTGTGGCAACCTTTTTATGGAAGAGTCCTAAAATATCAACCAGTCTCCCCAGACTGGTTCTCAGATACCTGCCACTTTGAAGATTTCATCATCTTGGGTTAGCTGGTCGACTAGTTTGTTATTCCAGCAATTGTTCTTGCCTTTTAGCCCAGTACAGTATTGTGCTCTGGCACAATACTGGCAGTGCTGGGTTACTTTGACTTTCTTCCCAGCAGGTTGTCATCTCTGCTTAAGTTAATGAAACAACTGCTGGTTGAGGCTGGTGTTGGTACCAGTGTGGCTTCATTTTTATCATTGTGGCAGACCTCTGGTTTCTTGCCTCGAGCTCACAAGTCAAGCCTGGCCTTGGGCCGGGCTTGGGGAGTAGAACCAATTCCAGAACCCCATCAACCAGGTGTCAACCAGCTTTTCTATAATGGTTCCGGTGTTGGCTAGGACTCTTCTCTTCATCCTTCACCGTGTCAGTTGAGGTGCTGGCCTCCCTAGTTACTTTTTTTTAGTGTCTACACTACACTGAAACAGCTCTTTGGACGGGTTTTGAAATGTTAAGGGTAGTGGTGTGTGGTATGTGGTGTTGGTTATGTGATGAGTTTGGAGGGTATGTTGAAGGTATGGGTGTCATTTTGATTCCCCCCAGTTACTATATGGGTCCCGGTAGTAGTCAGGCTTATTCTCGACGCACAATCCAGAATTCCGGGGTTCGAATCCTGGGTGGGACAGAACATGCATCCTTTCACCTAATGCACCTGTTCACCTAGTTGAGTAGTTACTCAGGATTTAGTTGGCTTGTTGTGGAGCTGCATCCTGGGCAGGGTCAGTAATTTAGCATTGGGAGAAAGGGGGGGGGGGGCTCGGAAAAAGCCAAACGTGTGTGAATACACACTGCCTTTGTCCCCTGACAGTGAATTATTAAATTATTTCCTAGACTGTACATATATAATTTACAGGATACTTGCTGAACTGTTCTCCAGGCAAGTGCCTCCTTGCCCAAATAAGTGGGGAATTACTGCTATAGTGCAGAGGTAGTTGATTTTCATTTTATTTCAAATTATCAGTGCTTTTAAATTTATTTACAGAATTGTACATTGACTCGGATAAGAAAAGTTTTAAAGATCTCAACTACAAGAAGCTTAGTGTTCTTGGCTTAATCCCAGCACTTCTGGCAAGAGTGGCAAGAGATGCAATAAGAAAGGTACAGTATTTAAAGCTTATTCTGTTTATTTTATTGTCCTATTTTCTGCCTTTTGAATGGTGTTAATTAATTTCTGGAGGAGAAACAGAGTAGCGTAGTGTACAAGCATTTTATTGACGCCTTTACCTCCGCTCTTTATCTAATCTTGTTCATGACAGATAAGGATTAAATTACTCAGTTCTTTGGTAAGATAGGAAACTGGTCATCACTTTTGGTTCACATTAAGTAGACTTTGATGTTCTAAGCAATTCTATGGTAATACCAAATTGCAGCATGGGCAAGCTTGTACAAGATATGTTAAGAACTAACGTAATTGGACTGAACTGCTGATATAAACACTTGCAGAAATGTGGAGCAGTATAAAAAAATACATGCTCCAATAAAATATCCCTTGAAAGATGAAAGGGAATAATAGAAAAATAACCAGCTTTGGATGTCAAAATGGATCTGCTAGCATAAAGGGTGTAAAGAGGAACACTCGCAGCAAATTGACAGGCAACTCTGTGGACCAAGCAAATTATGCAGGGTTTCCCCTCCTGTGGGATATCTGGGGCTTGACTCAATTATTCAACTATTTAATTATTTAATTTAATAACGAAGGACCACCCACTTTTGAGAAAAGAAGGAAACTTATAGAAAGTGATCATTAGAAAACACACTGAAGAACCAGTGTCTATGGATAAGTATTAGAAAGAATAATCACTTAAATAAATAATGGACTGTATGATTAATTAACTAAAGTCAGAGCCTCAAACACCTACATTGGGAGGGTATTGCTAGAACTTCATATATGTCTAGGAACTAGTGTGGTTCATTGCCAGTTCATTGTTGAGTAAATATTATGATCAAAAATGCTATAGTCAATATGTAAACTCAAATGGTGAATATTAATGATTATTAAATTAAGGAGCAATCATCTAAGTAAACACACAAATTTCCAATAATAAGATATAGTAAGAATATTCAATATGATAATCTTGCAAATTTGTTTAAAAATAAAAATGGGAGAATTAAATGAATACAAAAAGTCTTAGCTTTAAGACGATTTCTACGACATCGTTCGTGATTCGTCCTCGTGATCTCAGGATCTCCACATAGAAGAAATTAGAGGTGAATAACACGAATGCTGTTAAAGACTCGTTGACTCCTCACATACGAGCTGTAATTTAAAGGATATTAAGTAGCATTGAACTAGGCTACTTTAATCTCAATAATCATGAAAATAGAAAATAAACATTAATGCGGTACTAACGTTGGATTTGGGGTCGTCTCACTATATAACGACAGACTACTCACGAAATATACAATTTTAAATGATGCATCAAGAAACTATACTTAACATGAGCGCAGCAACTGCTGAAGTCTGCCGATATCGCGTCTGCCAGTCCCAAACTTTCACGGCGTGGTACACGTGTTTGTGGGTTTTGGCTTAATTCTCGACGCGTTATTGATTGGCCGAGCACTATGGAGCACGTGGAAGAATAATTATTCGGTATTAGTTGGGTATCAGGATAATTCTTGCTGACAACTCTCCAACGCCACGTGTCTCGCCACTCTTGACGCCAAGACCTTCCGCTGTCTAAGCACGCTCTCTGCACAATGGCGTCTCCGCCTTCCCCAACCCGCGTCTCGCATTCACCACAGAAATTATTAATCACGAATACTACTATTTCGCGCAATTGTGGTTGAAATACTTTAATAAGGACTGGGTTGTGATTCTAGGGATTTAAATATTATCGCTTTCTCGTCTCATGGTGGTAAACGGGAAATGGAGAAGATCTTAGTTTTCTCCATGGCATTCACGCGTGACAGAAAAACTATTACTTGATAACAATTGTAACTAAAAACTCTCGATTTAGAAGTATTGGGAGTTATGTTATCCGTAAATAATTACCACACGGAATACTGATGTTTTTAGAGAACCACATTCAATTCTCTAACACATTGCTAATAAATGTGTTTAACTAGACATTATCTGACGCAATGTTGGTGCTCTATTTAGTAAGAATTCTAGCATTAATACGCAGATACAATGGTTAGTTTAAGTTGACACTACGGTTAGTAAATTTAGTGACTACTGTAGTTAGTATATAATAATAATGATTTATAATACAATAGTAGTGTATTAGTGTTGGAAATTTCCAACACCTCCGTGGTGCCTCCTTGCTGTGGTGAGGGGCTCACGTACACCTCCCTGGGACCGGTGTGGGTTGCCTGTGCCCCCTCTCCTGCTCCCTCTTTGGGTGGTGTACATGCTGAAGGGCACCATGTAGGGGCCTTGTGAGCCATCGGACCACCCGCTGGAGGGGTCGCCTGTGAGAGGCCGCCCTGAGTGGATGGTTGGGAGTCCAGGCTGGGGCGATAGGATGACTGGGGTCTTAGCACCAGTGTGGGAGAATGAACGAAGTAGGACTCCCCTGCTGAAAAGGGGGAGCACCGCTGGGGATGACACACCGTTCCTGCACTGGCCCGCGCTCAGCCTCCCTGGCTGCCCTGGTAGGTGGTATCCCTAGGTTCCACGTCCCATCCCTTATATATTGGTTTGCTGTATGGATGACGACTTGACTTCGCTTACCCAGGCTCGTGGGGTGGGCGACCAGGCCCCTCCCCTGAGTCGGACCGTCCTGGAAGACCGGGATCTGTAGCCCTCGCTACAGGACCTGGTTTAGGCCCAGACCGGACTCTTCCTCCCTGCTCCTCTCCCTCCCTCTATGGTTGGGTCGAACCCCAAGCCTGCTGTGGTGACCATCTCGTCCCCCTTGCATGGCTCCATCTCTTGTGACTACTGCACCTTTTGATCCGTCTCAGGGTTCTCATCGCCGTCCCTGCCACGGCTGCTCTCGTATGCTCCCTTCCCATCCTAATTCGTTCCATGCTTTGTTTGGTCCTGCTACGTGGACTGAGTACTTTGACCTCCAACCTTTGGATTCAACTCCTGACGATTTTTCCCCTCCATAGGCATCTTGTCGAATCTGTGGATGCCTCCGCCACCTTCAACCCCCACTCGTCTTGGTACCCGTGTCGTTGCTGCTCCTTCTCAGGATGCGGCCACGCGCTTGGCCGTCTTATCCTGCCTTGGCGAGACCCCTGTTTGGGTCTCGAAGAACGCTTGGTTGAATGCCAGTTTTGGCACTGTTCTCCTCCCGCACCATGTTGCGACTGGTGTTGGGGATCTCAAGGACTGCTACGAGGATATCAAGCATATCCTCGAGGCCCAGGGTCATTCTGTTCTCCAGGTGGATAGATGCATTTACTCGTCCCCCTTGTGGTCATCGACGTCTGCCCCTTCGGGTTGTGAAGGTTACCTTTGATGGTAGGACCCTTCTGCCCTCTGTCATTCTTGCTGGTGACAGATGCTCCGTTCAGGAGTATATTCCCTCTCCTCGGCTCTGCAGCAAGTGCTGGAGGTTTGGGCATGGTGCCCTCAAATGCTCTAGTCCTGTCTGTCCCCTGTGTGGAAGCGAGGGTCACTCTAAGTTGGAGTACACTTCTCCCCAGGCCCGCTGCCTCAATTCCGGTGAGGCCCACCCTACCTTCTCCTGTAAGTGTATTCGTTACAAACTTGAGGCGGCTGTCCTCAACTTGAAGCACCGGGACCGTTTGTCTTTTCCTGAGGCTCGGCGCCAAGTTCGTCTCCCCTCTTTTGCTGGTGTCTATGCTCGCGTGGTGCGCTCTTCCTCTCCTTGTCCTTCCCGCCTTCCTCAGTCTCGCAACCATTTCCAAGCCTTAGACCCGGACACGCCCACCACCACCTCCCGTTTCCCTCCATTCTGTCCCGAAGGGTCCCCCTCCTGGTTCTCTGAAGAAGGCTCCCCTTCTTTCTACCCAATCTGTCACGTCTCCTGTGTCTTCTTTTTCCTCTACCTCTGGTCCTCCTTCCCGTCCTTCTCCTCCGTCTCGGCTCTCTACGCCGCCTGACTGTGCGGGTCGATGTCCATCGCTCTCCTGATGGTTGTGTTGTTCGCTCTCGCTCTTCTTCTATTGAGAGACTGGAGTATGTTGCCCAGTACATTGCTGCTGGGATGCCTGTATCTTTGAGTCAGAAGCGGAAACCTGGCTCCTCTCCTTCCTCCTCCCCGGTCGGTAAGAAGGCTTCGCTTTCTTCTTCACCCCGTCTGATTCTATTGTTCCTTCCCCTCCCGCTTCGGTGGTGAGGCCCCCTGTTCCTACTGTGGGGGTTTCTTTAGCCCCCGGTTCCATCTCGGTTACTGCCCTTGCTGAGGTGCGCTCCCCTCTTTCTGCCCCTCCTCCCCTTCCTTCTCCTCTAGACCCTGCTCGTCCACCTCTGGTTTGTCCTCCCGCTTCTTTCCCTCCTTTACTCAGTTTACCCATGCCCCCTGACCCTGTGCTTTTTTAGCGTGCTGTGTTCCTTCTTCACCTTTGTTTCTTTTTTGCTCTGTTGCTCTCCTCTCTCTTTGCTGATGTCTTTTCTTCAATGGAACATCCGTGGATTTTATGCCAATTTCCTTGACCTCCAACTTCTCATTTCACAGTTTTCACTCCTTTGTAATTGTCTCCAGGAGCCAATGCTTGGTGCTCGTCCTGGTCGCTTCCGTGGCTATTCTTTTCTCTCCCCCCCCCCCCTCCATAATTCTTCTGCTCTCTTGATTCGCTCTGATGTTCCCTTTGTCCCCTTACTTTTTTCCTCTTCACTATTCTGCCGCTCGTGTCTGTGCGTAGATGGTACACGGTTTGTTTCAATTATCTCCCCCCCCCCCCCACTGTCCCACTTTCTCTTCCCGATCTTAAAACCCCCTAGACCCCTTGCCGGAGCCTGTGCTCCTGCTGAGCGATTTCAATTGTTGTCATGCCCTTTGGGGTGATGTGCTGACAAACACCAGGGGTTGCCTCCTTGAACCTTTCATCCTCTGTTCTTCCCTGTTCCTTCATTCTGGTGAGCCCACTCATTTGGACTCTTGGACTCTATCTTTCTCTGTGCTTGTCATCCCTTTCCTTAGATTTCGGGTGGTGGGTCCTTGATGACCTCCATGGCAGTGACC